CCCCCCCCCCCCAACCCACTTAGCACCGCGATTATTTCCTTTTTCGATTATCTGGCAGACTTGTGCGAAGTCAAGATAGCGCGAAAGAGTTATGGCATGGTATCGCGTGACACCACTGGCCCTCAAAGTGAGTCAATTAATTTTTTCAGCACGAAAAGATTTTCTAGCAAGAAATGAAATATATCTAAAGAGGCTTTCGAGCTATGGGAACGACAAGCCTTAAAAAATCCGTCCACATCGTAGGTAAGCCGTACAGCTGCCTTGATCACCTTCATTATTCCGATGGTGTCTCCACGTGCAAGAATCTCGTTTTGATTCAGCCCTTAATGAAGGCCGCATTGATCACAGAAATGTTTCCAAATGCAGATAATAATAAACATCCCTTTGCGAAAATAACGAGCAAACAAACTCAGAAATAAAGTGCAATTTAACTATGTGGATCGTAACTATCTGCTACGTTGGTGATTTTTCCACTTATGACTCCGAAAAAGTCAGCTGGGTACGAAACGACGTGCCCATCCACGTCGTTCAGTGAACGGCCGACCCGGGTTTCTGACAAAAAAATTACTTATCTTTACTAACCATAATCAGTTGGCATTGTCCTCTATCGGCTCAAAGCGCGCAGCTATACCAGAATAAATGTATTACTCGCGCCTTGGCTTAGTCTGTTGACTTTGTTAGTTGTTGATTGCACTCCGGAAATAACTCCGTTACCACCCAAATCCCAATGCGCTTCGAAAATCTTTCAACAGAGAATTTACTCACCAAGTAAAGCCAGAGCGAATCGAAATAGAACCTTTGGTCCCTCGAGAAGAAAGCAGTCCCATATGCGGAGCAAAGTCTGTGAAAGAGTGAACCACTTGAAAAAAGCGATACAGATGTAGGACAACTTCATATTCAGGCAATTCTTGTGAATGGTTTGCTATTATAACTTCATGTAATCAAACTGTTCTTCATTTTCTTTTCACCAAGTTTGGCTAATTCTTCAGAAGTTCGAGGTAATCAAAGCAGTCCTTTTTTTCTGATGCAACCTTTGTTTGCCTTTCATTTAAGAAAAATCTCACGTTGAATGGAACAGCATCGAAAAACAGAGCTAAGAACCAATTCAAGGTGATAGTCGCTAGATCGATATCCAAGGAGTTTAGATGTGCAGCAATAAGGGGGAACTGATCTACTAGCAGTTCTTTCAAGACTTCCTGAAAAAAAGGCTCAAGTTGCAAATCACAGATATGTTGAAGATCAGGCTCTAGCTACCTAAAGAAAAGTAAATAGTCGGTGAATTAACTAGCTACTTTTCTACCTGGCAACAATTGAGTATTTGATTATCCCACCAACTTGCTATTGTCTAAACACTGACCTGTATTCGAGGATAAAGGATGTGTAAGGTACAGTAGCGCTCAAAACTCTCCGGTGAAATGCTTTGACGCTTTTTTGTTCACATCTTTTTTCCTAGTAGACCGAATCGCGCAACATTTGGATATGTTTAACTAGAGTGTACACTTTAGGCATGTCAAAAAGGAAAGAGATTCTAGAGGGACCATCATCTGTATTTTCAGTCGATTTTGAGTTCATGTTCTTTGGAATATCTGGAACATGATCACATTGCAAGTTTTTATTTAGTGGAAAATATTCACAATACACCCATGCTGCACATATCGAAATTTCGCTTGATTAGAACCAGTAGGAAAGGAGTTACGACTGAAAAGTACGGCTTAAGAACTATTCCACCGAAGACTTTTGAGCGCTACTGTATGTACGGGTAGAGCAAGCTAAGTTCTGAGTTCTAAGGTCTGAAGTTTCTGTAATTCTTGAATTTTGCAAAGCGGTTGGCGTATCAAAGTGAGCTCGCTCTGCCCACTCTCTGTTATTGCCTGGCTCATAAGCAACCGAGGTTCACCCTCGAGCAACCTCTGCCTTTGTGAGCAGCAGTCCAGAGAGACTGTAAAAATGAACTAATCGTACCTGATCTGCCTGTGCACCAGCGAGATTGTCGTCAAAATAGCTCTTGTCATGGAAATATTCTGTCATCGCGACAAGAAACCAGAACGCATCCTTAATAGCTTATGAAAGATCAGCAAGTTTAAAGGTACCGTTTACGATAATTTAGGGGTATCCGGTATTTCACAGAGAGTGATAGGTAAGGCCTACATTAGGACAATGGTAAAGCATAAAACGCGAAAAACAGCTAAAAAAAGAAATATAAACGGTCAAAAAAAAAAGGAGAAAAAGGGGTTGGACGAGTTTCATAATGAAAAAACGGCGGTTAAGGGAATTTTTAGGCGAGTAGACGAATGGACGTAATGTCTGCCATTGCACACAACACGTTCAACCGGCTGATTTTGACTTCTTCGTTAATATTATTTATTCTACTGACGATATTAAGATTTTGAGATTATTGTGCCTGATCCTTTTGATGACGGCTGAGAATAATTTACTAGAACGGAACAGAGCAGAACATTAGTAGAATAGTAGAAATACAGCCGATACTTGTACCAAAAGGAGGCGGTCGACCAGCTGACCGTCTCTGGCAATTTGCCAACCAGCTTATCGATTTTTCACCAACCTCGCTCCAATGCGAAAGTGGTGAACGGCAATTAGACTTCGTAGTCAGCCTAGCGAGGGGCGGAAGGCGACCGTGGCTCACTCTCCGACCCCTTATTGTGCCCTATGCAGACCTCATTCCTGCACAATTGGTATCAGAGGGGGCATCGAATACAAACCATGTGCAAATCTCCGAAACCATTTTTCCGTGAATTGTGCCTTTAATAGGGGTGGAAGATTCATGAGTCACACCTCAGGCCCAATAAATAGCAAAGCGGTTGAGGCCAGAAAGTTCATTCCTTGACAGTATCCGAGCGATGTGTTGTGTAAGCAAAATGCACGTAATACTTGTTGAAGCTGTGACACCTGAAACTAGTTCCTTATCTTAATAATTCTCAATGTTATTCACTGAAGGAGGAGCAAAAAGTATCGTTCGAAGTTGCAGAGAAATAACACTGATAGTCTTCACTATAAACTACACTTTGTGAAATTTGTTGCTAGCAGTTGAGCAGTGGCTACGATACCCACTCAAAATTTTCGAAAAACACGGAAAAACGCGTTTTTGCGTTTTTCTCGTTTTCTCCCTGTAACTAGGTTGATTTACAATTTTTTATATAGTGTGCTATATGGTTGAGCTCAAATCCTCGAGCTCTATAACATGGTTCATCTGAAATTTCGATAAGTTCGATTTTGAAGTCCTCCAGTCGGCTATCCAGCGTAGCTAGCCAGGATACGGTGTTCTCCCGCGACCTCTGCGGCTCTTGCAGTATTTACCTAGGGAGTTTCTTCGCACCTCGACGATAGCCTACCTATTAATGGTGCCGCAGTCGTAAACAGTTTTACAACCCACACATTCAAATGTAGCCGCTACCTTAACTTACTGATGAACTTGAAAATGGTGCAAGTATTCAAAATTATACGGATTACACGCAAAAAACTTTAAGGTATGACTAATATCGGTAGAAACGAAACATCTGAGCTGGAGAGCCAGTAGGGTGGCCGAGAGAATGGGAAGGGAAGAAAAGCGGTGCTAAAGGTGCGAACTTGAAGTGAACTTTGTGGATCGATTTTCATATGACTGAGTAGTTTTTTGAAAACGGATTCGAACTATGTAGGTTTTCGGATGTTCACTTTAAATGCATAGGTCAAAATTTTGTCTACTGTGCTTTGGAACGTTATCGGGGTTAGTCCGAATTTTTTACAGTCAGTGTCGTTTACAAAGAGTTCAGTACGAATACTTTCGAAACTGCATGGCTCCTCCCTGATCATCGGAATTCTCACTCGAAAAAGCAAGAAAACCCATGCTCTATGTAAAAACATGGCGCGTACAGGACTCCAAACGATTATATAACCTTTTCTTTTTAACTCAAATCACTAATTTTCAAGTTATGGGGAGGTAATTTTTCTGGAGAACAGGCACACCAATTCCTGAGAACAGAAATCATCTGATGTCGGCTACTCTTCATTTTGAAAAGCCTCTGTCATTTGAATTTGACCCATGGTCAAATTCATCCATTATGAAGAAAACTGGTATCGAAGTGACCAGGACGATCTGAGAAATGCCATGGTTTTATTTTCACCCAATACCGGGAAATGTTAGCTACTCCACGTTTCACAGACCACTTTTAATAGAAGAGTATGTCCTCTGGTTATAATTATAGCAGGCGTCGCTGCTAAATACGTACCCTCAAGACATTGGATGGATGGGGGACCTCAAAATCGAACTTATCAAAATTATAGATAAATCATGTTATAGAGCTCGAGAAGTTGAGTTCAATCATATAGCACACCATATAAAAAGTAGTAAACAATCTGGTTCCAGAGAAAAAACGAAAAAAATGCAAAAACGCGTTTTTTTCGTGCTTTTTGAACATTTAGGGTGGGTATTGTAGTTACCAATGAAAAAACGAAGCGACCAAAAAATTTGGCAATTTCTACCCCTTTGCAGTTCGCCGACATGAAGTGGACGTTAGTAGGCATCGTCCGGAGAAGATCCAGGTTGATTTGCTTCTGATGGCTGGCACAGAACTGAAAAGACAAAAAGGGTGTTTGAAAGTAGCAACGCTCTTTTTTTTTTGAGTTGCTCACTTTGTTTGTGTGCAGTTTTGTCATGGAATACGAATTTTCCCTCAAACAGCTTTCAAGCAGTGCCTCAGCAAACATGAAAGTAATCAAGCGGGACTTGTCCTGGATGACACAGTTCACGATAATTCTAGGGTTTTCAATTTTAGACGGGTAGTGGGGGTGATAGTCCAGAATAGTGCAAAAGTGGCGATTGAAACGCGAAAATCGGCGTATTTAGAGAAGTATAAAGATCCATAAGAAGGTAAAGTAGGGTTGGACGAGAATGTGACGACAAAAGTGGCATGGGAGGGATATTTGGACAAGTTGTCCAAATGCGGATACCACTGCTTGCAGCTGGCTGAACTAGGCTGTGTGTGTGTGCAACGTGTGCGTGCGGTGCGATTGGAGCAAAGAACACAGCCTTTACAACACCGTAGAACTCGCCCACCTAGGGTGTGCACGTCGGCCAACTCTGCTTTGGAGCCCTTATTACGCTCTATCTAAGCCGTTTTCCGACTCGACAACGCCTACGTGCTATATTGCTATGTTTGGGGGTCGCAGGTTTATCCTAAGGAAAAATCTCAGAACCCGTCTTCTTTATGAACTGGGCCTTTAACATGAAGTTCCCTGATGTATTAGTTGTTCTCCTCTGGTCTTTCTAGATATTAGAGGCTAAAATTCAATTAAGCTGAGAACAGACGTGATTTGATCAGGATGAACCCCAAATGAATTCTGACTTCCAGGCTCTGACGAACATGACGAGATGTTAGCCTAATAAAAATTATTGTGTAACATTATGGCCGAAGCTTCAGAGAAGACTACCTAGGATATCAAGGTATCATGCCAAGGTTAAGTGAGAGTCGAACATGATTGCATGAAGTTTCCGTTGCTCCTATGGTAGCGGACAGTTTGCACGACTATAGTGTACTGATCCTGGATTGCTCACTCCCAGATCTTCCAGACAGATATTTGTACTTTTGGATTCCAGGGCACACAGAATACTTGCCCAGATACAATTTTGAACATGAAACATGAACATGAAAAGTTGACAGCAGTTGAGTGACGAATTTTTTGAAATTGAAGAATCCGCACAAACCCACGTAACTCGACGACCTCCCACTGATTTCTTCCTTCCCCCGTCCTTGCGGAGATGGCCTCCCATGACGATATGATCCCACTACCAAGACATTTCGACGAAACGGAAACCAGGTTTGGATCCAAACTCTACCGCGTTTCCATAAATGCTTCAAAATATGGCCACCTTGTTTTATCTTGATGTTTTGTGAGTTTCCAAGAATAATAAAATAGTACACGCTGGTTGGACAACAACATGAACAGTGATATGAAGCAACATTAGGAGTACGGACGAAAGTGGAGTCGGAGGAGGCCACTCTATTGTGCTTTGCATCTGGCCGATAACAATCAAAATGGGTGAAGAAATGACTCTGAGCTAGAGGAACTGATATCTTCACATAAGTCTCCAAAAAAGTAGGAGCTCCATGGTGAAAGAAACGCTGACCACGTGAAAAAAGTCGGTACGGGATGGGGTGGGCACGCAGTATTTTACTTCGACGAGAGAGCACAGATAAGGGGCACGAAAGAGCTGGGAACTTCTCTCCAAATCCTCACGTTCGCTGGCCCAAGTGACAAATCGTTTTTGTTTTTTCGCGGCTTCAAACTCCACTTACCGTATTCGGTCCGCCTCCGCACTAGTCGATAGAGCCCTATTTTTCGTTATCTGCTCTGCTTTGATTATTTTTTTCCCGATTTTTCCCTTGCTTTCTGTTTTTGCCTTTCGGTAGTGAATGTTGAGAGGTTGTTGAGATGCATAGAGGTTCTGACTTGGTATCTTGATTACTGCTGTTACAGTAAAACGCGATTCAAAAATCTCATGAGGTCTGCGAGTTATAGACGGAACTTTAGCCCTGTACCTGACTCAGTCTCGCACTTTGCTAACCGGGCACCGCGCTCTTATCCCTTACACTACCAAGACCCCGCTTGCCCTTGCCTTCCCGAAACGGAGTCTCCGTAGCGTATGGGTTATGAGCATGGTACCCGGAGAGCACAAGTGCGGGATCCAGTCCCATCCGAGGCCGAAGTTCTATTAAAAGATCGTCAACTTCGGGGGATCAACAGAGGTTCTTTGAGGGAAACAAGGTTCTGCAAAGGCGCACCAATACTTGCCATGCGCTGCGACTCTCACTAAGACATTGAGCGCTCCAGCCGTTTCTGTGACTAACGGCGGATGCGGCGGAAGCGTTACACCGTTCCGGGGAAGGCTACCCTCATCAAAAAAAGACTGGCTCCCATCGTTTCCCTTTTGATCCACATACAGTAGGACTTTGGACCCATATGAAAGTTTCTTCGTCGCTACACTTTACACATGATTGCCTTCGTTTACACCAGCTGCACTGAACCAACAG